AAAAGTTCTTGTTTTGAAATATAAAATACACCTGAGTACCTGGACGGCTCAAAAATGTTTACCCTCACACTCAAAAAACTCCAGCACTGAAAAATAAGAGCAGTTTTAAAATTATTTCTTAACTTTTGTTCTAAGTGATTAACTTTGAATACAAAAACTTCTCAGCAGTAAGAAGAAAAAACTTTTTTAACTTCGGTCCATAACACGGAGGGGAAAATACGCTCTTCGAAAAGCCTGCCTCTCAGCTCATGAGCTGATCTCATAGGTACACGAGATATTGATAGTTACACGGACGGATACAATTGACTTTCCTTTTATTACCAACAATCCTCAACAAAGCGAGCTTCTCGCAACTATTCTGCTGGCCTGTGTAAGGATCTATTGAAAAAGACTTCTGATCGTATTAGGCTAAAGCAAAATGCATCTCAAAAGATGACACATCCTCAATACTTCAAGGAAGAGACACAACAGGAATAGAATTACCTCAGCCAACAGTCTGGCTGGCTGAATCTTTTTCTTTCACCAGACAGCATTACTTCAAGTTTTACCTTACTCTGGGTGTAAGCTTTTATATCTAAATGTACACACAATCATACAAAAAAAGGATTTCCTACAATAGAAATGTCAGGTATAAACAGCTGTCTCCAAGGGTCAGCCTCTACCTATCAGAATGGTGTAGAGAAGAATCATCAATGAAAGATCCGGCAATGCCAATTTGGACATATAAGCACAGAATTTGTGCCAGAACAGACATCACAGTGCAGGTGATTGGATTTTATTATCTCAAATTTAAACATGCGCAAAATGGCCTAAGACAATAAAAATGACTATGCACACTTTCACGCACACTTTAATCACAACTAAAAGTACCAATCTGTACAAGTACCGTTACAATATATATAAGCAAAAAGGAAAGGCTCTGTTTAAATAGTTCCTTAATGTGCTTCGTTGGACTGTACAATAACTTACTATGTTACGTATTTATAAACTATTCTGTTAATGCTTTGTTTTTTACACAATTTAAATATAAAACAATGGAAGTTGATTGCTGTACGTTCAGATTATCAAATTGGCCCTGATTTCTCTATGAATTTAAGCATATGATTAATTTTAAGCATTTGGCTAGACCTGTAATTAATTGAATTGGAGCCAATTATGAGCCAATTATGAGTTCTCTATACTTATTGCTTAAAATACTGCTAGATTTCTATTGAAGGCAAAAGAAAGTATTTTTGATCTCTACAAATACTTACAAGCTATTCAAGCTGTTACATTTGACTTTTTTCCTTTTGTTTTTCCTTTTGTTTATTTTTATAAAACATTTATTAATAAGCTTTTCCACAGCGTTCATCAGTGTTGTACCTATAGTGTTCCATAATAATTAACAAGCATATATTATGCCAATATATGGATAATTTGTTGCGAGTAGACACAGTTAAAACGTAATGAGGAAGGAGTTTTCCATATTTCTGCTTTCTGCACAACATCGAGTTGTGGGCAGTGCAACTGCAGAAGGCCATCTGAGCACCAGCAGGTGATAAAGAAGGGACTAAAAGAGAGGAGGAAAAAGTTTCAGCTGTTGAAATTTAGGAAAGACAAATTTGCTCTTTCCCCAGAGCTGCTTTACAACAAGACTGTGTCCTATTAGTGGGCTATCCCATTACAACTTCACAAATAAACATTTCTGTGGCTTCCCCAGCAATGACACTTTACGGTTTCAGTTGCAAGTGTACCTTCATGAGTGTAGTATTAACAGCATGTAGCTGGTAGGAAATAAAAAAAATAGTGATAGATTGATGGGTGTTTTTTAATGATCCAAGTTGAATGTTTGTGAGAATCTGTATTGATTTGAAATAAGACTCTCCTGGGTGAGCGTTTGAAGAAATTTGTACAATGCTATGTATTTTATGAATGGCATAGAAATGAGTCAGACTGTTAAAGGCTTGCTATTGTACCAATATTTGAAAATACCTAGCAGATGGTCTACTGTAACTTTCTGCAACAAATAAAAGGGATAAATCACCCTCACAAAATAAAATAGCACACAGAAGATTCATATATCAATAGTGTTGATACATTGTTTTTCCTTTCCCAACTCAGTGGCCTTCATCATCATTTATAACATCACCCCAGGAGACTGGTGCTGGATCGTATTTAAGCAAAATGGGGAGTAAGATGCAGCAGTGATTTCTTCAAAAATGTTAACAGTTACGCTATAATTTTAGGAAAATCTAATAACCCCTCCCCACAATTTTGACTGTCTACTTAACTCTGTTTTGGTCTTCTCAAACAGTGAAAAGAAACCAAGGAGTAAAATCTTTCCTTTGAGAGAGTTACACTTTCAGGTTTTTATTCAGCAGAACCATGCCACCGTATCTGAGTTTTGGTTATTGCAGAGGGCAATTTAAGTCCTAGCTCACGAACATAATCGAACACACACTTCAACTGTTCTCCCCTAATATGAACCTATGTTTAAACACTAAAACTTCTAAATCATCTGCTATTACAGCTACATTCACCCCATAGCTAATGTTGAGCATGCTAGCAGTCCCGCCTTCAGTAGGCACCTACATGTTCAGATTAGGCATGTGCTTACACGCTTCAGTGGGTACGGAAGCATTTGCCCAAAATCACAGTGGCAGTCAGATGAACGCGTGTCGTCAGAACTGGAGAGTCCTGACCTCCCCTTGCATTCTGTAACCATTAGACTTTCTTCATTCCAATACATACAGGATAAAATCTCTTTGCATTGAAGTCAATGAGAGTTTGGCCATCAGCTTGCTTGGGATCAGGAATTCACCCACAATGTTTTATAAAACAAACAAAGAAAAGGAATGTATTTATAGTGTTATCATTATCCCTAATAAGGAAATAAGGAGAAAGAAGAGAGAGTACATGGTCTAGTCTATACACACGTGTTCCTTGTATTAATATCAATGGGATTTAAAAGTACATATGGAGGGGATAAGATATATCCCTACGTGTTCAGCCATATGCTTAAGGAAGCTCCCAAAATGCTTGTAAATATGATGGTGCTTTCTAACATACTATATATTTATTTGAACAACGTTAAATCTCTAAGCCCTACTTTCCAGTCCATTAAGGCCTCAAATAATTGTTTATTTCCAGTTTAAGGTTACTCTCTTTTTTACCCATTAGAAGGATGTCTGTAACCACACTTCCACTATTTTTGGGGAATTAGAGAATTGATAATAATTCTCCCATTAACTGAAGGGGTACCTCTCCAGGAAAAGAAATACTCAAGTTGAACTATATCTTACTGAGGAATTCTTTCCAGAGGATTTTGGGACAGGCCCAAAACATGCAACTGAAAGATCTGGAATGCTACTTACACAACCAACATGTGTTCTCGTTGTAGACCTCAGATGACTACATTCCTTCTGGAGGCCAAAGGCTTTGAAAGCTAGCCATTTTTCTGGATAGACTGTGCTCTCATTTCCTTTTTGTTTTGTTTTTAAAGTTTGAATGAACACAGGACTGATCCATTATGCACTAGAATGTTATTCTGGATTTCCATTATGAGCAAAGACATCAGAATTCACCCCACACTTTTACTCTACGATTTGGTCCAAGCTATCTTTAAATGAGACAACTAAAGTATTTATGGAACATCCTATGCATTTTAGTAAATTATGTTCATGTGGTTGCAACTGATCATTTAATTTAACTCTTGTGTTGCTGCTGCCTTTCAGCTGAGCTTTGGTAACTTACTTGGTGAATGCTTTTGACTGCAGTTTGATCAATTAAAAATAAAAGAAGATGGTTTACTGGGTCGACTGGAAGAACAACTTCAACTAATGCTGAAGCCCCAAAACTAAGGCAACATCCATGGAGGTATAGTCATGTAAGGCCTCACTAACATCCATGATTGACATCCATCTTGGCAATCATATGTACCACCTTACTTGCAAATGCAGTGCAGAACCAAGAGCCAACTTTATGGCCAGCTGCCAAAAATCACCTTCTCACTTACTTGGTATAACACTTTTGACGCCAAAGCAATATGGCTGCTTATCATCCAGAAAATAAGCTTATAACTTGGTATGGCAATTCAGTTTTCTTCGTGTTTCTTACTGATTGTAACCAAGATCTGAGAGCTCAGCTACAAGCCCCTCAAATTATGATAAAATCACAAATCAGATTTTTTCCTACTGAAATACTTCTTACTTTGTAATACCAAAAAACAGAACAGTCATCATCTTTTTAAATGACATCAATGAATAGTGAAGGCAAATCCGGTTTCCCAGCGAGGAATTATTAAGAGACAGAAATAGTCCAATGACGACAGGAAATCTTTAAGCACCAAAATGGGGACAAAGTCTCCTGGGGAAAAGACAATATTTCCTACATGGTCATTCATGTCTCCCTGTAATACAATACAGGGGTATTGTTTGTTTGTTTGCTGAAGTAGATGCACAGAATAAAATTAGAAACAAATCCTGACTAATAGAACATTTCCAACACTAGATGCAGACACGTACATTGCAATACTCGCCATCATAACTATGTTGTGATGCTTCTTTCTTATGTATAACCAGTCAGACCTTTGATCATTAATGTAAGGAGCATTATTGCCTCATTATAATAAAGGTCACCAGCCTCCAGCAAGTCTTTGAATTCAGGTCATATTGCATCTTTCTGCAATCTTAATATTGGTCATAGAAATTGTCAAAACAAAACAATAGGAGAAATACTCTTTAAAATAGACCCAGTTTATAGTCCCCTCCCCCCAAGGAATTCAGTAAAGGAATGTAAACCCAAAGATTTATTTTTCTGTTCAGGTCATGCCTGGGGTAGACTGCTATGTTATTAAACTCCCTAGTCTGAAATTAAGAGCAACACAAAGTTAACAGGCCTCTGTAGGCAAAAAATCCTGAGATAGCCCTCCGTGGATCATGCATTTTCACTGAAATTATAGCAATACGCATTATCCCCAACACAAAGACATTTCAGAGAAAGGCATGTGGCCCATAGCTTACCTCAACATAGTCCCTGGCATGGCCCCAGTCTCTCTTTGCGTCCAGATTGCCCAGGCTGAAACATTCCAGCTGCCCAAGGTGAATCTTAGCTACTGATCGGCTAATTTTTCGAGTAACAAAATTAGCTCCTGGAATAGAAACAGAAAAGTAGTATTAGCATAGCCACAGTGGCAGAAAACTGGCCACCAGGAACACCTTGTTCACGTGCATGCTATTTTCTTTCAATCTGCATTCATTCCCCTCACATTCCCCCCACCTAGACCATGCCATCATTTATCATTTGAGTAGGCTAAGGAGCTGCAAAACGCAAGTGTCACATTAGCTTCACTTTCACAGCAAACATCTTTCTTTGTGGGACTTCTTAAGCATTCCTAATTTGCTGCCTCAGTATTCAGTCCAGGCACAAAGCCAAAGAAAATCATTTGGAATGTCAGTTCTTAAACCCAAAATGCAAAAGGTTACATAAAGAAGACAGACGTCTTAGACCACCCTCAATTCTTTTGTTGTCATTTATTTTTGTTTTTGTTTTAAAGAATGCATTCATCGAAATAAATTAGTTTATTAATTAAAAAATACTGAGACTATTCAAATACTAATGTTTTCCAAAGGGTTGCAATGGTTAAATGTGTTCTGTTTTTCTAGATATTTGGGATTCTTTATGATCTTATGTTCAGTAAGATCACAAAATTGCAATTCCAACTTTATCATTTGGAGGATGCGTCCTATTTTGTATTATTTCATTCACTGTATTTCATTGCAAAATTCATGTACCCATAAACTGCTCCCTGTAGAGCTGCTTTAAACAATACTTAGTTTTAATTATTTTCATATCCTGATTTTTAGATTATGACCGCTGGGTTTTTAAAACCTAGCAAACACTTTCCTCAAACGCACAGGGATTTGAATTTAGACCATGAGTTCAGGCTAAACAAGCTCAATGGCATTTGCACACTAATAGGCCACTAAAATTAAAATTACATGCCTTTCTAATAGCCAAAAATATGACATATGATACCTCATTCCAAATGGAAAGCAGTAAAATTAGTGAAAATGAATGCACTTGTAAAATGTTTTTATCAAATTCAGAAAGTCATATACAGCTTGTACATTAAATGTGGATAAATATTTTTTTTCATAACGCAATTCTTCTCTTGGAATATGTACCTGAACATTTTCTGTTTTCTGTCCAATGAATGATAGCTCCTGCAGAATTATTAAATAATGTAGAGTGCATGTTTCAGACTACAAACTTTTGCTGTAAAGTCAAGAGCGCTACAGTACCTGTTCGTATCGTTTCACTCTGCCAAAAGTCAAAAAAAACAGTGACCCTATAAACATCATGAGGAATGAAACAATGAAATAATTCAGAGCTTATCACAGGATTAAGACAGAATTTTATTTTTCTGTCAACTGCTAGAACTAAATGGAATTGTGGTTATTAGCCATTTAGAATATATCATCACTTTTGTGTTTGTTTTTTAAAGAATTAAAATCATGTAATTTCCATATTCCCTGAAAAAAAGTGTTCACATATAAAGGAAGCTTAAGAAATAGACCAATTTTCAGAAGTTCACAAATAAAAGTATACTCAGAGGTCTTTTTTGCATCAACGTTGCACAACAATTAGGTAAACGAGAGTTAACTGCAGGATGAATGCCCAAGCCAGACTGTCCCCCGCATAAACTTTCTCCCCTGCAGGAGAAATACGTTTATCCTAAAGAAAAAACAGTGCAAACCAAGGACCAATACTGTGACTCTGCTAGTGCAATTTCTGGAAGCAAAGTACTGTGGTTCCTCATCACTAGCTGAATGGGTTTGCAGAGGGAGTGGAATTCTGGCTTAACCGAAACCAACGCCGGAGTCTCTTCAGCTCAGTAGGACTGGCATTTCCGCAAAAATTTTTTGCGTTTTGTATGTCATCAATGTGCTTTGAGGTCTTCATATAAATTATTACTAATTAATTAAAAATAGATTCAACCTATTAGACAAAACTATTGAGACTAATGCCAAAATTTCCTAACCTTTTGCACCAAAATAAGGCTGTATTTCCTGAATTAACAGTTGAAGCAGAAACTTTCTTTCACAGATAAAGTATATAGTTTTAAGTTCCAGACTGCAACAGAGTAACAAGTTAAACTAGCAGCTTTCAACACTACATTCCCATTTGCAGCAAAAGCCATGAAAGTTCTAATCATCATCTGCATTATCGCAACTTTAACCGTCAACCTACGAGACTAATGAACGTCAGCTTCCATTTTGGACCAATCACTTCTTGAGCATAAAAAAGAAATATACTAGGTACAGTGCGTGTGTGAACTTCTCTACAATCAACTTAACCAAAAAAGCACGAACGTATGAATGATATTTCACAGGAAAAAGCAGATTCATCTAGCGCAGCATAGCAAATACTACCAGCTGCTGCTGTCTTCTTCTAGAATCACTAGTCACTGGAGAGAAATTGTCTTCTAAGATCTTCCCCAAGCAAAATCAGAATATACCTCAAAAGGGAGAAAGGTCAAAAGGCAGAAATGAAGAACCGAAGAGCATCACAGTGAAAAAAAGAAAGGAAAACTTTGTTTTCCAGGAATATCCTAGTAAAGGTTCAGAAAAATAATTCCAGGTCTCTTCTTTGAAGCGCCTCATTATTAAAGCTGGGGAAGAAAATGAAGCTACTGTTCCTTTTGAGAAATGTGATCAGAATTCTTTCCATGCAACCAAAGACTGAATGCCACATTTCAAAAGCATTTAAATGATATCGTTCATAAATAATGTTTACATACTGATTCTGTTCAAACACAGTATCTTAACATATCCTCTTACACTTCATGTTTGATCCCATGCCATTAAATGCACATCATAACTAGAACTTAAACTGATGCCCACTGGAGCCATACAAAATACTTAAGGTTATGTCGGCATTTCCATTATAAAGCCCTATTCCAGGAGTTTGTAATTTGGCTGTAAAATTTTGCTTTGGCCTGAAACTTGGCAGACATAATGTCTCTTTCCTCCGGAACGATTCTATCTAAAGATCTATGTGGAGCTCTACAGGTACCTTTATATAACTAAAAACAAAGTACTTTTTGAGATACAGAAGTGGTTAGCTTCCCTCTTCCTCAGGAGGTATCGAGGACAGGTTAATGTTGTAATTTTCCTGCACAGATCAGCCAATTAGTAGCAGCAGTGGTATAGACAGAGTACATCAGGTAGCTGCTGCTATTTTCATCGAAGTCTAGGTGATGCAGCCACTAGCCAGCACAGCTGACTAACGTCTACATTACTACGCTGCTAGCATTACTACTGCACACGGATGTGTGTTGGTGGTATCAACAGAAACTAACTTAGATTGGTGGCAGACAGAGAGAGACCAGAATCCTGCATTTGTCTCCTGGCTTTGTACTGCTTCCTCAGTTCAGGGAGGTCATATAAAACGCCTCACTGCTCACACCCCGCAGGAATGAACTTGGGCGTGTTTAAATATCTCTTAGCCAACGCTGTTGCTATTAAATACACGATGTATTTTGCCTCATTCAGACATTTATTGAAAATGTGTGAGGGTGACACTGTTCGACATAAACCAACAGCAAAGTCACTCTTGCTCCCTCAGCAGGGCTAAGCACGCTGGACTGTCTGCCTTGCACAGCTATTCTAGCTAGCTATGCACAAAATATATTGAAAGCATGATGGGCCAAATTATGCTCTCTTCTGGGTTTTTACTGACAGCACTGGAATTACTCTATTACAACAGCAGAGATCTGGCCCAGATGTTGCAATGGATTCTTTGGTGTGTCACCACATTTCAGCAGCTCCAAACAGCCTTGGTTGAGGCATGCATTACAATTTTTTTACATTTTTAAAGAGGCCTTAAACATGAGTTTTCACGATATTAACAGCTCTTTTAGGGATGTTGGGCATTAGCCTACATTCTTTTTAAAGATCCAAGCCATCCCTCTGAGATCATGAGCATTCTAATAGGAACCATAAGGTCTCATTTACAAACCCAATTTATCCTAGATATCAGCTTAAAAAGGATTCTTCATTAAGCAAACATGATTTGTAAAACATGTACTTCATCAGCAACCATTATAGGAATAATGCTAAAATAAAAAAAAATAGCAAAGGTGTAATACAACAGCTTCTGCTCTCCAGCCCAGGCCTGCTGCATGCTGTACAGCACGGCTCAGGATGGATCCTGGCTCATCCTTCTGAAAAGGACACTGTCTACATCTAGCACAGTTTTGAAATCTGGGCATGTCTCTGATTCATACATTTTAAAAAGTAATGCTTTAGGGAGCGTACTTTCACTGGTGTGCACCTATTATTCTGAAGTTGGATACCATCAGAGAAAAAAAAGTCTGGACCTCTGGATCGTTAACATCAGTACACATTCCTTTTATCAGCACTAGGATTTCACCCTTTGTGTATTATCAGGAAGCTAACTGTTTGAATTAGGTGTTTTTGCCTAGGATCTGTGGTTTATGAGCAGCAGCCAAACGAATGAAGCAACTCAAGGAGCTGCTGTTATAGTAACTGTTTTTTTTCAAGAACCATCGTTTTCCAGTCTCTCAAAGCTAGATACAAAATTCAAAACACAACAGCCTGTGGCCTTAGAAAGACTTCTACCCCTGTGTAACACTAGCTGCACCATGCATAAGAAAAATTCAGAGTGATAGATGACTCCATAGCATTTAATAGCAATATTTATCAGCTGAGATGCAGTATTAGCACAGTCTATCAAGTTCCCATAACATATTTTTTTCTTTTTGCATAAAATATGACAAAAAGGCCTCTGACTCTGAAGATGCTGGCACAAGAAAAAGGGGATTTTTTTTCCCTCCACGTTTCTAAGGTTCTGGCAAAGAGTCTAGTGGAAGCCCAACATGTTCAAACACATTGTGCACCCAGTGCTTCTTCTAACCAAAAGGAACATATTTCTTTTAACATATATGTGTTGTAAATTATACATTTAATGAGATCATTAAAATGTTTTGATTGCCTGAAAGTCCACACTGCTCATAATTTCCATTCTGTTAGAAGCCTGCTCATTTTTGTGGCGAGTTTAAATTAAAAAAAAAGTAATACCTAGTTTACCTAAGAAAAGAAATCCAGAGTCTCCTTTAACTTTACT